CAGTAACAAATGACTCTGTACATTTGAAGTCCTGCTATGAGGACAGATCTCAGGCTAATTGTTCTTACCACAGAAAAGAAGAAAGTGAAACTCAAAAGGAGACTCTGGGTGGGTGATGGGTGTGTCTGTGGTGTAGATTGCATGAGGGGCACCAAGGTTCCATGTGTTTGAACTCATCAGATTGTGCTTACTGCATACATGCATTTATTCAGATATAACTACCCTTCAGTACAGATGCTTCAAACAGAAGATAAGGAACAATTTGCACAAAGGACCCTCTGCACCTTGAGAATCACAACCTTCAGCAATGTCAGGAGGCCACCTCCTTCCTCCCAGTTCTCAAACTTGGTCCCTCCTCCATCTCCTCTTGTTTGTTCTGATTGCCACCATGGCTTGATTTTGAAATAACAGCACCCTCAGTAGGTCTTTGCACTGCTCAATCCTCCAGCCAGGCACACATCTCTGAGGACAGTCTCATAGATCTGGCTCTCTGCCCTGAGATCTCTACTCAAATGTCTTACCTGTGCCCCTTAAAAAAATAGCACCTCCATTCACCCTTCTTTTTACCTGAACATGTTTTCTTTATAGCAATTATTACTTATTACAGAAGTAATAATTACAGAAGCATTTATATTTTTAAGGCTTTTTATTTTTAATGTTTGTGTTAGTGCCTTACAGCCATACATAACAGTGGGGTTCATTTTGACATAATCACATACTCATGGATATAATTTGTTCCACTTCAGTTTGTAATCCCCCCACCCCGTTTCACTGTGCTTGACTCCACGGGCCTTACCCCCATGTATTTATTGTTTTATTTTGGGGGGGGGTGTACCAGGGATTGAATTCAGGTACACTCAGCCACTGAGCCACACCCCAGTCCTATTTTTGTATTTTATTTAGAGAAGGGGTCTCACTGAGTTGCTTAGCACTTTGCTTTTGTTGGCTTTGAACTAGTGATCCTCCTGTCTCAGCCTCCAGAGCCACTTGGATTATAGGCATGTGTCACTGCACTCACCTTGTATTTTTATAAATTGGTACTTTATATGTATAAATAGGTGTGGAATTCACCATGTCTTTTTAATATTTTAACTGATACATTAAAACTCTATGTATTAATGGGATGCAATGTGATGTTTTAATAATTTTATACATTGTATGAAATTAAAATCTGCTCAAATATATATCATTCTTTTATAGTGAAAACTCTCAAAACCCCCCTTTAGCTCCTGGTTTTGATTCATTTCCTCACACATGATTTTTTCTGCATGAATGGATTGTAGGTACTTTTATTTTAAAGGCTCACTGCCTAGACAGTGCCTGGATCATGGATGGACCTAACTTATATCTCACAGGTTCATAAAAGAATAGTTCATTAAAACTGTAGAGTATCTGATACATTGATAAGAAAGGTGGAGAGGGACAGGAATTCCTAATCTGAGATGTGCAGAAAGGGGGTGGCGCTTTAAAGAAAATCAGATAGAAAAATTAATGATGTTATTTTTCTCTTTCCTTGTGTCAATCAAAGCACATGGGACCACAAAATGACACACGAATTTCTGAATTTTTTCTTCTGGGATTTTCAGAGGAATCAGAACTACAGCTCCTCATCTTTGGCCTTTTCCTGTCCATGTACCTGGTCACTGTGCTGGGGAACCTGCTCATCATCCTGGCTGTCATCTCAGCCTCCCACCTGCACACACCCATGTACTTCTTCCTCTCCAACCTGTCCTTTGTGGACATCTGCTTCACTTCTACTACTGTCCCAAAGATGTTGGTGAACATTCAGATGCAGAGTAAGGTCATTAGCTATGTGGGCTGCATCATACAGATTTATTTTTTTGCGTTGTTTGCAGGGTTGGACAACTTCCTCCTGGCCGTGATGGCCTATGACAGGTATGTGGCCATCTGTCACCCCCTGCACTACACACTCATCATGAACCCCAGGCTCTGTGGATTTCTGGTGCTGGCGTCCTGGGTCACAAGTGCCCTCAATTCTTTATTGCACAGCTTAATGGTGTTGCGACTGTCTTTCTGCACAGACTTGGAAATCCAACACTTTTTCTGTGAACCTAATCAGGTGGTCCACCTTGCCTGTTCTGACACTTCCCTTAATGACCTGGTGGTGTATATTACAGCTGTGTTTCTGGCTGGTGGCCCCCTCAGTGGTATCCTTTACTCTTACTCCAGAATAGTGTCCTCCATCCGTGCAATCTCATCAGTTCAGGGCAAGTACAAAGCCTTCTCCACCTGTGCGTCTCACCTCTCTGTGGTCTCCTTGTTTTATTGCACACTCCTGGGGGTGTATCTTAGTTCTGCTGTGACCCAAAACTCACCCTCAAGTGCCACAGCCTCAGTGATGTACACTGTGGTCACCCCCATGCTGAACCCCTTCATCTACAGTCTGAGGAATAAGGACATCAAGAGCGCTCTGAGAAGACTCTTTGAGAAACTATAAAAGCTCCCATTATCCTGGACCTTCAAAACTACTGCTGATTGCAAGGCTTGAAGCCTCAGAGCAAGAAATTACAATATTTTATTGAGATTGTGGAACTAGAACTGCCTCTTCTTTGTTTTATGGAGTTTCCATTTCTTTGATTTTTAACTTCTCCAAGAAAAATATGTAAGTCATCTCATGAGCTTTCTGCTCTGACGTCCACAGAGCATTCCCCTTTATCCGTGACACACTTCCTCAAAATTGTTTTCAATTCATGGATTGGAAAGGGTGGAAATTCCCATTTATTTCATAGGGGACAAGATGAATTTCTGAAGAATAATTTCTTCTCAGGATACAGATTACACAAAATTATTTGTGATTAGTTTGTACTAAAAACATTGCCGTGTGTTGTGTGTACTCTTTTGATGGAAAAATGTCACACTTGACAATGAAGGTCATTTGCATAGTTTTATCCAGGAGGAGAGGCTGGGATCACAGTTTTCTCTTGCAGTTCATCATTGCTTTGTACCTACTGTCCGTGTCTTCTTTATTTAAGAATGTGAGTTTTGAATTCATTGTTTTGTGACTGAGCAGAAGCTTTTCTTCTCTTCATCAGTGTTCAGTTATAGAGCTTGGTGTCTGCAATATCTTCCACTGTCACAGGGGAAGCAAATTATTTAATCTCCATCTGCAAGAGAAGGCTGCGACAGAAAATAAACAAGAAATAATAGGTTGATTTCTTTGGTCTCAGAATCAGAGAGAGCTGTAAACATGATGAGATAGACTTGTACATTGCACATTGCATATTGTATCGCTACGCAAAATATGGCTTTTCATATTGCAAATGGAATCACTGAAGTGTGGAAGACTGCTCTCCCTGTGTAAGGGGGTTTGCTCACTGAAGATTGGTGGACAGTTCTTGTGGTTTATTACTGACTTATCTTTCCATTTCCACTTGAAAATTTCTAGTGCTGCCTAGAAAAATGAATCTTTCTGTTGTTGTTCCAAGTGAACTATCCACCCTTTTCTGAATTTTGCCATAACCATGAGAGGTCGTGAATGAGCAATATCATTACCATCCATTTATATATGCCATTTTTGCTCAAGTATTGCTTCTACAACTATCATGAGCTCAGTGTAACTTGCAAAAATGCCTGGATTCTTACCCAATTTTGTGATAGTAGGCCATAAATTCTCCTTCAAAAACATGCATATTCCTTCATGAAACCAAGCTCTAAATATCTCTTCCCACGTGGTCCCATTTGTATAACGGCACTACATTAAACCAGTGGCATTTAGGAATGCTTGTTATGCAGCAATGCCTAACTATTAAAATAAGGAAAGAAAACAAGACAGAGTAGAAGTATAATAATCTGCTACTTCATTTTTTGGCATTGGTATAATATTTAAAGACAATATTCACAACTGTATGATAAAGGTAACATAGTCACAGGTTGCAGGGATGAGAACTTGGAAACCTGTGGGGGACCGCCCTTCTCTCTTTCATATCCTCTATTCACCAAGAAGCTCTTACTGAAGAAAGTTCACTCACATGTACCGGCATTTACAAATAAGGTTCTCACCTTGCCTACTTGCTTGAATGGAGTGGCCAGCAAACTTCTGTGAAGGGGCAGATAGAAAATGTCTGGGGATTTAGAGGCCAGATGGTCTGTCTCTTGACAGTGACTCAGCTCTGCCATGAGGGTGGCAGCAGCCAGAGACAACACACACACACACACACACACACACACACACACAAAGATAGTGTGACCATCTCCCAGTAAAACTTCACTTAGGGAGACCAAAATTTGAACTTGATGCAAATCAAAACCACACCTCTTCAAAGAACACAGAAATGCTACTCAGCATGATTCACTTATAGTTGGAATCTAAGAAAAGCTGATCTCATAGAAGATGAAAGTAGAACCAAGGTCTGACCGGAAATTCAAGAGGAGCAATGGGAAGAAGTTGGTCAATGGATATAATGAGAGCTGTGGCATAATTTTAGCCATCTTGCTTCCCCCCACTCTCACTTTATGAATACTGTTCTTATTCTCAAGAAATAGAAACTAGCCTGAGATAAAACCTACCTGTTTGGCGATGGACTGGTCTCTCTCTGTTCTCTCATTGAGAGATAGGAGACAACTTACCGGCACCTGAGATGGGATGTACTGGTTTCTCTGTTCTCCCCTTGAGAACATTTTCCCTGTTCCCCCTCTGAGAGATAGGAGAACTGGGCTTCCACAAGATCATATGTCAGTTCTGACTAAACCCGTCCCTAACCTGCGACCATGATTCTAGCCTATAAAAAAGTCACATTCAAGGGAAAATTGCTGCTGTTCTCTGTGCAGAACAGTCTGTCAGACTTCTGAAAAATAAATCCACTTCTCATCCTAGGTATGAGTGTTATTAGTCCTGCACCACTTTCAATAGTCAGATAGGAGGAATAATTCTGTTGTTCTACTGTTTACTAGGGGGGACAAAAATTAATAATATATAACATGTATTTTTTAATACTTTGAAAAATTTTTTATGTGGTGCTGCTGAGGATCAAATCCAGTGCCTCAAACATGCTACATAAGTATTTTGCCACTGAGCTACAAACCAAGCCCCTATAACATGTATTTTTAAAAAGCTAGAAAAAAGTATTTTGATCTTATCATGAGGAAATGATATGTGTTTAAGAACATGGAAATGCTAATTAACTGAATCAATCATTGCACAATGTACACCTTTATAAAAGTATCACATTGTACACCTTACATGTATGTGTGATTATGATTCGATAAAAATTAAAAAGTAACAAAATTGCTAAAAGGAAAATAGCAATAGTTAATGAAGATAAGAATTTGGAATCCTCATCCATTACTTCTGGGAATGTAAATGTCGCACCTGCTGCAGAAAACTATTTGGCAGTTCTGCAGAGAGTTGGACATAGAACCTTCATATCACTTAGCAATTCCAACTTGTGTGTATATATACAAAAGAAGGGAAAACAGAGTCTCAAAAGATGCTTGGACACCAAGGTCCATAGCAACATTAGTCACAGTAGCAAAATGGTGAGAAAAAGGTGTCCCTCAACAGACAACTGCATAAACACAACGCTGTGTACTCAGGTCAGTCAGCCAGGAGCAGAAAGGACCTTCTGACACATGCTACAGCTGGGGTGGATTTGGAGGCACCGAAGATCACCTGGCCAGTATGTTGTTGTCACCTGCAGAAAAGAAACCACACTCCAAGTCAGAGTGTTTTCCTGTGGACAACACCTGGGTCTCTTCACTGCTGACCTCAAGGTGTGTGGCTCCGACCCAGCTGTGTTTGCCCCAGGTGCGTCATCATTCTGGGAGGGTGGCTGAGGAAAAGGCCCCCGCGTGAGAGGAGCCCACCCTTCCAACACAGAGGAAGAGGAGGACGTGGCGGAATCCCCCAGGCCTCTTACAGCTTCTTCCCATAGATCAGGTCACGTCTGCCCACATACTATGACCTGATGCAGGTCACTTTGGCATTAGGCTTCTGTAGAGGAAGTGGACAGGAGACAGATGGAAACACAGGTTCAGATATGCGACGGACTCCCGTGAACACAGAGGCTGCATGTTTCCACATTGGCTGCTGCTGCTGGAAAGTCAGAGAAGCCAATCGTGTGACTCAGTCCAAGAAGCCAGAGGCCTCAGAACCAGGGAGGACATGGTGCAGCAGCCAGACCAGGAGGAGAGACACCAGGACCCAGAGGGCTGCTGGGGCCTGTGCCAGAGTCCAGAGGCTCTAGGAACTGGGGTCAGATGTCCAGCAGCAGCAGCAGGAGAGAACACGCCTGCTCCAGAGGGAAGAACCAGCAGGGAGCTTCCCCTTGTTCTGTCTTCCTCTTCAGGGCAGGGCCAGACTTCTGGATGGATTTGCTCCTGGGGAGGGAGAGTCATCACTCTGTCCAGTATCAATCTTCTCTGGAAACACTCTTCAAGAGACACAGAAAACTAAAGATTTACCAATTCCCCTGGCATCCTTCAATCTACTCAAGTAGACCCCCAAAATTAACCACTCACTTGTCCATGTCCAAAGTCACACAGGAGGGACATGCACTCATATCAGGCAAGGCCAAGACCCAAAGTCCTGGGTAGAGTTGGCCAGTTGTCCTGCAGAATATGTGGGAGTGATGACTAACTGTAAAATATAAAACAAGTTCTCTGTGGGGCAGAATCAGAGAGGTCAGCATTTCTATTTCTGGTGGCATCAAAAAACGTTTATGAATTATCTTCTATAGATTTACCAGGATGAGAAATAAGGGGCAAATAATTTGATTCACCAAGAAATATCAGGTTTTTTTTTAGATCTTCCCAAGAGGAGAACATAGTAAAACAAACTTAAAGAATCTGAAAACCTTTACTGTGGCTATTTGGACCAATCCCAAGTGAGTTAGAGATGACGCCCAACACAGCACAGGGTGGTGGACCAAGGCTCTGAGCTGCCTGCCTGGGTCCTGGGAGGATGTCTCTGCGCCACCTCTCCTTGTCTCCTAGGAGCCACTCAATGCTGGACTCACTTCCTGTGCCAGGAAACGCTTGTGATGTCACAGTGACCTGAGCCAATGAGGAGCAAGGTAATGGTCACAATGGCTGCTATCTGTGGGACATCTACTCTCCACAGGTCATTTCATGTGATCTTTATCCTACAAATTAGTTCACACAGATACTCCATGAAGAAAGGGGAGTCTACCAAGGTTGTAGATAAGGAGCCAAGGACAACAAGTTTAATTTCCTGTCACAAGGTAAGCCTTCAAGAGGCAAATGTCAACTTATTTAGGCAGAAGCTGAGCTACAGAGTCCAGCACCTGACCACCTAAATTGAGATGATGAAGGCCTTCGTGGTGGAGAAGGCCTTGGAATGCCTGCACTTGACTCTGATGCTGGACAACAGCTTTAGTGCTCAATAATGGGAAAACCAGATGGCGCAGCAATCGCATCATTGGATATGTTCATCCAAAGGAAATGAAGTTAGCCTCAGAGACTTCTGCACTTCCATATTCACTTAGCCTTATTCAGGTAAGCATATATGGAATCCACCTATGTCTGGATACATGGATGGATGAATTTAACACCTTATGTATACTCATGGGAGTATGGTTCAACCATAAAAATGGATGAAATTCTGTCAGCTGTGACAACACAGATGAAAATGGAAGTCCCCAGAGAAGTGAAAGTGAGACAGGAAGACAAATGCTGCATGATCTCACTCACATGTGGAATCTAAAACGTTAATTTCATGGATATAAAAAAAGTGAAATGGTGGTCACCAGGGACTGATGTGGTTTGTGGGGTTGTGGGGAGAGATGTTGGTCAAAGGATCTGAGGTTCAGCTAGACAGGAG